ATTCCAGCTGGGTTCCACTAGATTAAATGTTTTACAGATTCAACAATCTTACACCTAATCTATCACAAGAACCAAATTCTAGTTCCTGCACTTAACCTCTCCACCAAGAACCAAATTCCAGCTCTTGATAACCTCTACAACCAAATTCCAGTTGCAGATAAACCAGTGCCCAAATTCCAGGCATCAACACCTAACCTTTCACCAAGAACCAAATTCCAGTTCTTGACAACCTCTACAACCAAATTCCAGTCGTAGAGAAACCAAGTGCCCAAATTCCAGGCACCAACACCTAACCTCTCACCAAGAACCAAATTCCAGTTCTTGATAACCTCTACAACCAAATTCCAGTACAGAGAAACCAAGTGCCCAAATTCCAGGCACCACACAAGTACAAAATAATGAAAAAGAATTGACAAAGAAGAAACTAGAAAGCTCAAACCAGTTTATCCAAATTTGCAGAGAGTTTCTTCTTCAAAAGAATGCAAGTTGCCTCAAGAAAGATTTTCAAAAGAACTTCTAAAAAATTGTTGCGAATCTTTCTTAAAAAAAAAGGGCTAAAGTTTTCTTGAATGATTGCTTAAGGATGTGTAAAAACTGATGTGTGAAAAGTTCCAAGCAACTCTGATTTTAAAGAGTATTTTCAAAACTGCTGCATTAATTAATCTGTTTAAAGTTTGTTTTAATCTGTTGAAATAGTCGTTTCAATCTATTAAAAGTCCTTTCAATCCATTAATACGTTCTTGATTCTTTAACAGATTTGTTTTAGCTGATACGACAACGTTTATATCAGTTAAAAAACTTTACAACAAATTTTGTAAGTTAATTCAATCGATTCTTTCGCGTTTTAATCGATTGAAATACTGCAAACTTTCTTATAAAACTTTTCAAGTTATTTTAACTGATAAACCATAGGTTTTAATCGATTAAAACTCTGCACAAAATTTTTCCAAGTTGTTTTAATCGGTTGAAATGCGTTTTAATCGATTGAAACAGATCTGATCGGTCATAATTCAATTCTGATCGATCATAACAAACTCTGATCGGTCATAACTGCATTTTGATCGATCATTCTGACCTTTTAAGTGATTTTAATCGATTGAAACGTGTTTTAATCGATTGAAATAAATTCTGATCGCTCATATTTCAAATATGATCGGTCATAATGGGTTCTAAAAGGTTTTAATCGATTAAAAGCAATTTGTATCGATTAAAATACTGTAAGTTTTCATTATTGAGAAGATATAATAGCGGTTCCACGTTAACCGCTATCTAAAGTATATTTTAGATAGCGGTTGAGGGTTAACCGCTATTAGAAGTGCCCTTTAATAGCGGTTCCGATTGGAACCGCTATCATATACAACCAGATTTTTTTATTCCGATTGATTAGATTTTCCAAATGATCGATCATATTTGATAATTTTTTCAAATAATTAATTATAATCTATTAGTTTTCTAAATTATTGATTAGAATTGATTAGTTTTTCAAATAATAGATTAGAATTGATTAATTTCTGAAATATATACTAAAAAATTGTTATTAAAAATATAAATTATTTAAGAATATTGACTATTGTAAAGATAAAGTAGAACATGGGAGGAGATGAGGATGATAATATAATGATAGAACTTACAAAAATGTAGAATTGAGAAGTTTGAAACAAATAAAATTAAGAAAATAGAGATTTCATGACACTCTTAATAAATTTAAGATAATACTAGTTTTGATTTTTATGTTTAAATATTTATTTTAATTATTTAAAACAGAGAAACTATAATTTTAGTTTCTAACTACTGAATTTAAAGAATTAAATTTATTATTATTTAATATATTTATTTTAGTATTAAAAATTTAAATTATATTTTATTAAATTAAAATAATTACAATATATTTTTCTACTTTGAGAATGAACAATATAACTAAACTCAAAATTGACAATATTATAATACATTTTTTAACTCTTTTGGATTAATTTTTTTTTCCTAATTTTTGATAAAGTTAATTTTAATATTTAAAAGTATTTAACATTTTTAATTCTGAAAGGTTTTCTCTAATAGCAAATTTAAAAACATAATATTCAGAAAAATAGTTAATGTAAGTTTTCATTATTCAGAAGATATAATAGCGGTTCCACGTTAACCGCTATCTAAAGTATATTTTAGATAGCGGTTGAGGGTTAATCGCTATTAGAAGTGCCCTTTTAATAGTGGTTCCAAGTGGAACCGCTATCATATACAACCAGATTTTTTTATTCTGATCGATTAGATTTTCAAAATGATCGATCATATTTGATAATTTTTTCAAATAATTAATTATAATCGATTAGTTTTCTAAATTATTGATTAGAATTGATTAGTTTTTCAAATAATAGATTAGAATTGATTAATTTCTGAAATATATACTAAAAAATTATTATTAAAAATATAAATTATTTAAGAATATTGACTATTGTAAAGATAAAGTAGAACATGGGAGGAGATGAGGATGATAATATAATGATAGAACTTACAAAAATGTAGAATTGAGAAGTTTGAAACAAATAAAATTAAGAAAATAGAGATTTAATGACACTCTTAATAAATTTAAGATAATACTAGTTTTGATTTTTATGTTTAAATATTTATTTTAATTATTTAAAACAGAGAAACTATAATTTTAGTTTCTAACTACTGAATTTAAAGAATTAAATTTATTATTATTTAATATATTTATTTTAGTATTAAAAATTTAAATTATATTTTATTAAATTAAAATAATTACAATATATTTTTCTACTTTGAGAATGAACAATATAACTAAACTCAAAATTGACAATATTATAATACATTTTTTAACTCTTTTGGATTAATTTTTTTTCCTAATTTTTGATAAAGTTAATTTTAATATTTAAAAGTATTTAACATTTTTAATTCTGAAAGGTTTTCTCTAATAGCAAATTTAAAAACATAATATTCAGAAAAATAGTTAATGTTAGTTTTCATTATTGAGAAGATATAATAAGCAGTTCCATGTTAACCGCTATCTAAAGTATATTTTAGATAGCGGTTGAGGGTTAACCGCTATTAGAAGTGTCCTTTTAATAGCGGTTCTAGTGGAACCGCTATCATATACAACCAGATTTTTTTATTCTGATTGATTAGATTTTCAAAATGATCGATCATATTTGATAATTTTTTCAAATAATTAATTATAATCGATTAGTTTTCTAAATTATTGATTAGAATTGATTAGTTTTTCAAATAATAGATTAGAATTGATTAATTTCTGAAATATATACTAAAAAATTGTTATTAAAAATATAAATTATTTAAGAATATTGACTATTGTAAAGATAAAGTAGAACATGGGAGGAGATGAGGATGATAATATAATGATAGAACTTACAAAAATGTAGAATTGAGAAGTTTGAAACATATAAAATTAAGAAAATAAAGATTTAATTACACTTTTAATAAATTTAAGATAATACTAGTTTTGATTTTTATTTTTAAATATTTATTTTAATTATTTAAAATAGAGAAACTATAATTTTAGTTTCTAACTACTGAATTTAAAGAATTAAATTTATTATTATTTAATCTTTTAATTTTAGTATTAAAAATTTAAATTATATTTTATTAAATTAAAATAATTACAATATATTTTTCTACTTTGAGAATGAACAATATAACTAAACTCAAAATTGACGGTATTATAATACATTTTTGAACTCTTTTGGATTAATTTTTTTTCCTAATTTTTGATAAAGTTAATTTTAATATTTAAAAGTATTTAACATTTTTAATTACTGAAAGGTTTTCTCTAATAGCAAATTTAAAAACATAATATTCAAAAAAATAGTTAATGTAAGTTTTTATTATGATCGATTATAATTAGAAATGATCGATCATAATTGAGAAGATATAATAGCGGTTCCAGGTTAACCGCTATCTAAAGTATATTTTAGATAGCGGTTGAGGGTTAACCGCTATTAGAAGTGCCTTTTAATAACGGTTCCAGTGGAACCGCTATCATATACAACCAGATTTTAAGATTGTGAAGTTTCGGGTTGTATTTCGCTTGAGCGACACTTTACTCGCTCGAGCGACATCTGATTCAAACATGAGGTCACCCATGTTACATTATCCGGCTAACTTTGATCGACGGATAACAGGTCAACATTCGCTCAAGCGAAAATAACATCGCTCGAGCGACGCCACTTGCACAAAATTGGCATTCTCGGGTTGTATTTCGCTTGAGCGACACTGATCTCGCTCGAGCGACATCCACATTTTTTGATTATGATCGATTACATTTTCAAATGATCGATCATATTTGAAAATATATAATAGCGGTTAATATTTAACCGCTATTAGAAGTGCTATATAATAGCGGTTAAGATTTAACCGCTATTAGAAGTGATATTATAATAGCGGTTAAGATTTAACCGCTATCATATACTACCACATTTTTCACTTTCTCTCTCGCGCCACTTATCCCCAAATAACCCTAACTCTCGCGCCTCACTCACCCATTCCTCTTAACCTTGGCCAGTATCTCCTCCTCACTCCCGGCGAGCCCTAGCCCCCTCACTGCTCCCCCCAAGTCAGCCCTCACCCTAATCCAACCTCCACCAAAGCTCCTCGTCAACCAGACGCCACCCTGTGAGCCACCGCGCCACACCTCTGTTCTTAACCTCCTCCGCAGCCTCTGACACCCTCAACCAAGGTTTGGCTTGTTTGAATGTATATACTGTTATTCTCTTGCATTGTGAATAATATAGGAGAAATAATTTTGACAGAATTTCTTTATCGTTTGTTGTAGGTGGATTTGTGAAGTAGATAGGTTCTTCGATCCCTCTTACTGCGGATTTGGTGGTGCTTGACAGACCAATTTGGGAACTTGTTTTGTTTTGTTTAAAATATGAACACCATTGTTATGTTTAAAATATGAAGGAATTTTAGCAGAGACCTTGTGCACAATGTTCTTTTGTTTCCCTCTTTTACCTAGCAGGGTGCGGGCGATGCAGTGGCACTCGAGTAACAAGCAGATCGTTGTTCTTTCTATAATTGCAGGTTCCTTGGGTGGCAGGTGCTTCACTGTCTTCATATTTTTATTCTGAGTTTGATTTTAGAAAGTTATGTGTGCATGATGTATCCTTTATAGTGTGTGTTGCGTAAACATAATAAGATCTTCAATTAACAAGAGGCCATGATTGTTAGGCTAGATGGTTTTGTACACCATTATCCTTCTGTTTCATTTGAGGAAAATCTGAGGTACCAAGGTGATAAATAAACTTATTTTGTGATTAGTGCAGGACACACTTGTACTTACATTATGGAAAGCAATACTTGAAAGATTGTTACATTGAAGGGAGTGTGGACTTCATTTTTGGTAATAGTACTTGCACTCTTGGAACATTGTCACATCCATTGCAAGTCCGCGAGGTTTATAACCGCACAGAGCGGAAACTCTCCACGAGAAAAAGCTGGTTATGTATTCCTGAGGTGTGTGATCATGCATAATACTTACAACATCATCTTCCCACATAATATTTTTTTAGTCATTGTAACTTGTTTAACAAGGAAAGAGACATTTCCCAATCATCTTGTTTCCCCTACAATACAACAGTGTTAGTGACTCTTACTTTGTTTTCCAATTCCAAGGCAAAATATGTTCTCTCTTAGTTCTTCGATGTGAAATCAAGTAAGTACCTAGGTTGAAGTTTATCATCATGACTGAGTCATGTTTATGAAAACCGATTAAGATAATGAGAGAATGTCTGGTTTTGAAGATGATCTTGCTTTTAAGTTTTGCAGTTTGGTTTGTAAATGTTTAGAAGCATGGCTAACACGGATTTAGGAGTATTTAATTAGAAAAAAACATTCTAGGTTAAAACAAGAACCGGATTCTCTTGAAGCTAGGGAAATGATCCCTTGAAAATTCAATGAATTCAGGAATCCTGTAAGAAATCTTAGAATAAAAATCTTTGAATCTCATACTACTCTATGCTTCCTTGTCAATATTTTGCTCCTCTCCCTTTACGAGTGTTTCTTTGGTGTGTTAATCTGTTAAACTTCCGAGTCCAAGAAAGGATACTACACAAGTAAAGTACTTTTATTATGTTGTGAACATTTTGGTTCCTTACATGATGTTTTGTTTGTGGTGTCATTGCGGATGTGTTGTCACAGGTAATGGGGGAACTTCATATGCATATCCGGGAAGACCATGGAGACCTTTTGCAAGAGTGGTTTTTGCATTCACTTTCATGGATCAATGTATAAAGCCTGCGGGGTGGAATAATTGGGGCAAAGTTGAGAATGAAAGAACTTCTTGCTTCTATGAATACGAGCAATCATTTCTAACTCCATTCACGTAGTATTGTTATCATCACCAAGGCCTTCTTATTCTCATTAAATCAATGGATCTGACAGCAAAATTGTTGATAATTTCATAAAAACATCAAAGTGAAAGAGGGTCTAAAGTGTATAAAATTGTTGTTTATTTGAGTTGAACAAGTTTGGAGTAATTTGATAAGAGTGCAGGTGTTCTGGACCGGGTTTCGTCCATCCCAAAGAGTGAAATGGGCCAGTAGAATTGAAGAATGAATGAGCTGAGCGGTTTCGAGTCACACCTTCATTGATCCGGAATCGAGCGGATCTTGGCTTCCTCAAAGAATGACCTTCAATTATTAATTAGGATTATTATTATAATAGAATAATTAATAGATCTTGGCTTCCTTCATAAAATTCCTACTACAAGTCAACATGACACCGACAATATACCAGAGGACTAATTTTCAATTTTATGATATTAAGACTTTGAATCTTGAGTAGTTGTTAAGTTCTTAAGTTTCATTTGTGTTATGTTTGGATGAATTAAGCAGGTACAAATTTTGTAAAATTGGATATACAAAATTTGACTTTAGTTCTTAAGTTTTCATTTGTGTTATGTTTGGATGAATTAAGCGGTACAAATTTTATGATTTGAATAATTTGACTTTAGTTCTTAAGTTTTCATTTGTGTTATGTTTGGATGAATTAAGCGGTACAAATTTTGTCAAATTGGATATACAAAATTTTAAACGAAAATTTTCAAATTTGGTTAGATTAGCGATCGAATTTTTGGTCGCTACAAATTTATTATAATATACAATTCAAATTTAGCGATCGATTTAAATTATTATTTAAATAATTCAATTAATTTATTAGCGACCGATTTAGCGACCGATTTTAATTATTATTTAAATAATTATATTAATATATTAGCGACCGAATATATCGGTCGCTATTTTTTAAAACTTTACCACCAGATTTAGCGATCGATTTAGCGACCAATTTATTATATTATTTTCGGTCGCTATTTTGGTCTTCAATGAATAAGTGACCAAATTATTTAGCGACCACTTTAGCGACCACCTCATCGGTCGCTATTTAGCGACCGAAATATAATCGGTCGCTAACAAATTAGCGACTTGCCCTTTTGCGACCAACCATTTCGGTCGCTAATTTCGGTCGCTAACAGAATAGTGACCGATTTTTGGCCATTAGCGACCGATTTTTTCAGTCGCTAATAGCGTTTTTTCTTGTAGTGTAAGATGGAGAAATGAGAATTAACCAAATTAAGAAGAATTTCAACTTAAAATAGAGTCTCTAAGATGTTCATGGAATCTTAAAAGGCTAGTAAACGGTTAACATGGATTGAATAGAGTATACAAAATAATTTTTTAACCCATTGGAACGTAGCTTCTTATTATTTAAAGCATGAGCATGACAAGAAAAATAGAACCTCGTAAAGGTGAGTGTATGGCAGTGGTGACTCCATTGACATGCATGAGCAAGTTATCCACATGATATATACATTATAAAATCATTTTTATTTATTAGTTAAGTAACAATATATGGTTTATAATGTTTTTGTTTCTAGTTAAAATACTTTTGGCCAAATGTCATTTGATAATCTCTTTGAGTAAACACATATAAGGAAAAATATTAGGGAATTTGTTGGTAATCGATCTAAGAGAACTAGTGTGAGTGTTCTTTATGATAATATGTTTTTTTATACAATATTTAAATATCCTTGTAATAACATTTGTTTATGCATAACATGAAGATTTTCAAGCTAAATTTGTTGATGTTAGGTTTGGTATTTCTTCATGTGTTGGTAGCTTAGAATATACCCCCTTCCACTATTCTGAAGATGAGAAGTTTATAACTCGATGTTGGGTGGCAACTACTGGTGCAAAGGAAAATAAAATGCTTATACGGTATTAACAATCTTACTCGTGCTTATACCATACCCAATCATCTTCTAGTTAATCTCGCCATATTGAAGAGACTAACAAACTAATAGAATGACTTTTACTCTAAGATGTTAATTCATCTTTTGCATCCCAATTTTAAATTTCAAACATTCGTCAATGATTAATATCAAGTATAATAAGATGGAGATCAACAAGAAAATGATTGTGCCAAACACAATAATCACAAAACAGTTTTCTTTAACTTTTTAATTGTTTCGAATTTTTCCTAACTATATGACATTGCATTATTTGATTCTTTGATTAAATTTGTTGGATATTATGTTAAAGATGTTAACACAAAGGTAGTGTAGGTCTTGTTTTTAATATTTTAATGCTTAATAGGCTTCATAATTTGAATTATGAAAATCAATAAAGAATATTGAAATACATTCTATAATTTTGAATTATAACAAAACAATGATAAAAATAATCATTTCCTATGGATATTTTTTGTGGAAAATATCTTTAAGAAATTTACCACAAACTTAGTGAAAAATTTTCTTTAGATTTATTCGTGAGAAATTTCCTATGAATTAATTTGTGAAAAGTTTTTCATGGATTATCTGTAAAAAATTTCTAGCGATAAGTCCTGAGAATTTTCTTGTAGATAAGGTTATAGAAAAAAATTCATAGATATATATATTCCATAGTTCTATGTGGAAAATATTTTTTTTATGAGTCTTAGATCGACAAATATTCATTTGTGAGAAATATGTAGAAAAAATTGTATTTTTTTTTAATTTTAGATATTATCCACGACTATTCTAAATAATAAATAATAATTTTTCTTATAGTTCTAAATTTACCAGTAATTGACTATATAAACGATAACAAAATATTACTAATATTTATTTTATTTAATAAATTAATTAATATTTAAATATAATTTATGTTTTTTTATTTTAAAATAATTATTATTATTTTAAATTATAGATAATTGTTTACATAAACTTTATATAGTGGTTTTATTATATTTGATGTTTTTCTTTTTCAGTTTAATATTTATTAGTAAAAATTTGCTTGTTATTTTATGCTTAATTATTGAAACAATACTTAAATGAGAGATTTTACATGAGAAAATTTATCTTATTATAATAATGCTCTTATTTTATACTAAAAAAACGTTTGTAATATAAAAAAATAAATTTATTTATATTGACTATTATAAGAATTTAAGGATTCATTATTTATAATTCTAAGATATTTATAATTCCAATGATCATTACTTCACTGTTTTCTTATTTTCGAATTTTATATAAAATGAGTAATTATTTATATTATATACATTTTAAGCATATGACATCAAATTTAGGCCCACACAATACCCATTTCAATATATTAAAAGTTGTAATGTCATTTTGAAATTGCTTTTTGAATCACTTTAAAAAACTTTTATTACGTTCATTAATCACTTGTTCTTTGACATTTAAGGATTATTTTTCTTCACACCAACTTTGCAATGGGTTAAGTAGGGTATGACTTTAATAGTTTTATCCAATATATAAAAATGTGTTTGAAGAACTTCATCTCGTATCAAAATCATATCTTTTGAAGAACATGGTGACAAGACTTAAGTACCTCTACAACTTCAACTTCTAACAAATATTATGTAGAAAATCCAATACTTTATTTTGTAATATGCCTTTCAACAATAGCCACTTTAAGGACGATATTGATATTTTACATACCCTTTTAATATTTTCACATATCGTGGGTACATCCATCCTAAGAATACCGTACCACAAAGCCTAACTTTTCTTGCTCAATGTACAATCAAATGGACCATGATGTCAAAAAATGATAGAACAAAATACATATCTAATTAACACAAGATAATTATTGCCTCATTATGCAATTGATCGAACTTATCATGGTCAATAACTTTACTACATATTGCATTAAAAAAGAAGCAAAATTTGGTCAAGACATATCTTACATTCTCAAGGAATATTCCCCGAATAACTATAGATAAAAATTATTGTATCAAAATATAACAATCATGAAACATTAATCCAAGCAATTACAAATCTATCATGGATACAAGTATCTTCACATTTGAAGAGTAATCTTGTGGAACCTACACACCTCTCAAAAACTTACAAAAGCTTATCTTCTCTTGTTTTAACAATGTGTGACATGTTAGAGGTAAATATGTTCATTTACCATGGGTCTGTGGATCTAAATGTCCTCTTATACCCATTTCAATTATGTCAAAACGAGCATTGGCTCTTAATATTCACTATCGTAATGAATTCACCGTTTTCTATGTTTCCCCAAAATTTTGTCATATAGAGATAACCTAGGTTGATTCTTAAGGACACATATTAATTGTATTCATTATCTAATATTCTTCCTATAATTTGTAAATTGGAAATTTTTGGATTCAAACTCAAACTAAATTGAAATATAAACAAAAAAAAATAGAATCAAAAGTAAATGGAATTGAAAAGAACAAAAGCACAAACTAAATTTAAAAGATAAAATACAAATATTAATTGAATTGAAGATTTGAAATGAATTTAAGCGCAAGCTAAATTGAAAAGAATTCAAACATAAGAATGTAAATGGTATTGAAATGTAAATGAAAGAATTAAAACAAAATTGAAATGTAAAATAGAATTGAAATGGAATTGAAACATCAACCTACAAATCTAGATGCATATGAATTTGAATATCATTGTATCTAATAAAACATCAATCCGAATTTGAATAATAATACAAATCAAATCAAACAATCATTCAACCTAATTCACAATTGATTATTAAATCAAATTTCAATCAAAATCTAACTTGAATTTTAATACATAGTAAAGCAAATCATAATCACAATTCTTTATTCTAAGAATTATAGAAAGATGAACAAACATGGAGCAAGTGAATCAACCGATGGAAAACTTAATTTCGTAATTCATATAATCTTCATTTGTAGATTGAAGAAACATTTTAGACTTACATGGAAGCACACTCCATTCACATAATATGAAAATACAAAATGAAAATAGAAGAGAGAAGAAGGAAAAAAGAACATAGAAGAGAGAATTCAAAGAGACAAAACTACTTCTAATTGAAAAACAAAAATGAAAGTGTTTAAAGAATGTAATTGTTGTGTATCTTCACTTCCTATAGTGTTTATACAATGCTCTTAAATATGAAAAGGAATAGGCTTAAGTTTGAGTCGTAATGAATCTTACAAGTCCAATTACAAAATGTAATCTTGTATATGAAAATTTAGTATTTCATTTTAAACTTCTAAAACTTACAAAAAATAGTTTTGAACCCAAAATTCTATGTTCCATATATAGAAAGTAAAACCCTAAAAATAAGAAAATCAATAAAATAAGAATTATTCAAAAAGGATATGTACATATAAAGTTGTGACAAAAAGAGTACACAAATATTAAAATAGATAAAGACGTAGTTAATGCATTTATTCAAAATAAGCCAAATTTATTACAAATGAAAAAAAGATAATAAACTACAACAAAATATGATATAAAAATATACTTAAAAGGTACATTAAATTGTTAATGTGAACACAAAATATGTGTTATCAACATTATCTTTTGTTTCTTCTTTGAATATTAAGAAGTGTTCTAATGATACTATCACACACAGTTTAACACTATAAGAAAAACATTAATTACCGACGGATAATTACTGACAGATATATAGTCGTCAGAAAATGAATGATTACCGAGGGATATTACCGATAGAGTTGAAATAATTGTGAAATTTGGTCTTACGGATGGATATATCCGTCAGTAAATGAACAATTAATTACCAACGGGTATATCCATTAGTAAATTAACAATTAGTGACCGACGGATATATAGCCGTCGAAAAATGAGTGATTACCGAGGGATATTATCAATGAATTTAAAGTATTTGTGAAATTTGGTCTTACTGACAGATATATCCGTCGATAAATGAACAATTAATTACCGGCGGATATATCCGTTAGTAAATTAACAATTAGTGAAATTATTTCTCTCCTTAGGATATTATTATCTTGTAACCTAAACTCCCCGATCTCACCACATTCCCACCTTATTCCCCTGATTTCCTTCCGGCAACCTCCAAATTCATGTGCCCAGCCACCCTCACCAACTGACCACCCAACTACACCCGCTGCACCACCTTATCACGCTCACAACCACTCACCATCAGCCTTAGCCCTTCCGCGACGCCGATCACCTCCACCTCCACTACCAGTGACTCACGGCCTCACCTCCCAGCTCTCATCATCTCCTTCAATCCGTCCCCTTCACCAACCTCACTCACTCTCGCCCAACACCCTCATCGAAAATCACCCATCTCCCTCACTCGAACCCTAGCATGGGTCGTGTCCACCACTAATCGCGAATCGCCTCCATACCCATCCACTCACCACGGCTACCACAGATCATCGTTCCCCCCCCCCCCCTCATCCATTCTTCCCCATTTTCGTTTGATTGAACAGGCCAAGCCTTCCAGCTCGCGCCTGCAGTGGATTTGCCCTTGCTCGACATGCCCAAATCGCCACCGTGCACCATCCACGACCGCACCACCACGTGGAATCTTGTAACCACCTCTCAGTGAACCACCTTCCCACTCGCGTCGCAGCTGCCGCAAGTGGTGTCATTGAAGCAGCAACCAGTCCCCTGCTTAAAGGTGAGGCCATGAGCTAGCTCCCCTATGGAGGGTCAACCCGACGCCGGGATCCGTGTTCTTGGTTTCTTTTTTATTTATTTGCTTTATGTTTCTACCTTATTCTGATTTGGCATTGCAGTTTTGGTTGAGGGTTTTGCTTCTAATGATTTATGATCAAGGGGTTTTGCTTCTGATGGTGTAGTCTTTTTAATTAGGACCATGTTGGACATATTTATTTCTGATTGGAGTTTGCTGAATTTTGTTTAGGTTTTTGCATGATTGGCCTTATTTCATTTGTCTGATTGTGGACTGAGTTGCTTGGTAATTTGAGTATAGCTATGCCTTGGTTTTGATATGTCCCGTGATTTTAGATAGGATAATTTAATAGTTTGAACCTTAATAGATTATAAAATCAAGCTTCAATACTTAAATATAGCTTCCTTTCACAGAGGCTGCAAGGGAAATATCAACAAAGTTTCTCATAGTACCTTTATACATGCCTAATTATTCAGTGTATTAGTTAAGTTTAATTTTAGATTAGGCTATATAGACGAACTAAGTATTTTTAATAAGCTTTTAGAATTGATAAATAATTTTACTTATGAGCATTTTAGAATATTTTCTTATGGGCATTTTACTCCGCCATTCCACATAGTTTCTTGTGTCTGGATACTGTTTCTTTTCGTGTGTAATGTTTGATAACCATCATGTGTACAACAATTCTCTTGAACAATTTTATCAATAGTTTTTCCATGTCTAATATCACAACATGTGTTGTCTTTCAATGTTAATAATTGTTTTCGATACACAATACTTCTTGTAGGTTCAGTGCTGGAAAATCAGATGCCAAACAAAAGCTCCTCAAGTTGTAGGGACTATCCATACTGATTTTGAAAGGGGATTTCTTTGTGTTGAGGTGAGTTGAGTTCATGAATATTGGCATTTCTTTATTTAACCTGGTTGATTCTTCCTTTTATATAATTGCAGTTATTGAATTCGCATTATACTTCTATAGCTAAAGATTATACATCCACCATAGCTAAACAAAAGAACTAAGCTATATGTAAATATAATTTCAATTCATCTTTATATGTAAGTATGTTTTAGTACACTGATTCATTTTTTATTCAAGCCTAATTGCTTAAAAGTCCAATGTTAAATTGGATTTGACAACTTAAAAGTAGCTTAGTATTATTATGTTGAATCCAATGTTTAGATTGGATTTTGTTTCAATTTATGTGAAGTGCAATTTCACTATTTGTCTGGAGTCTATAGGAGATTTCATTTGTATCAACTTTTGCAAAACATAAAAGTTTTAATTGAGTCTTTTCACTCTATTTGAATCATAGTTTAATTAAAATCTAATGGTCGATTTCTTTCAAACAATTCCTTCAATTGATCTTATTCTCTTTAATATTACAGAACATGGATGGTATTTCTTTCAATCGTAGTTGGATGTATGATAGATGTTATAGTCGTAGAAGAGGTTTGAAAGAGTCTTTTTTATAGGGGTTGAAGAGTTTGTTAGATTTGCTCAACAATATGAGTATTACGAATGTGATAGGGGAATTCAATGTCCATGCACCAAATACGATTGTACAAGAATTTTGAAGGATGAAATCGTCAAAGTTCACCTTTACAAGTAAGGGTTCAAACCAAATTATTGGATTTGGACGGATCACGGAGAACGTGTGCCTAAAGTTGAAGAGAATGTTGATGATAATTGTGTTGGCGGTTCAAGTATTGATGTACACATGACTGAACAAGACCAATTTATGTCAATGCAAGAGATGATGTACAATTCTCTCTAGCAACATCAATCATTTCAAGGACCTAATTGTCTTAACATAGAAGAACCACCAAATGAAGCAATTCAAAGGTTTTATAATTTGTTGGCAGATACAAATAAACCATTATTTGAGGGGACAACAAATTCAAAATTGTCAATATATGTTAGAATTTTAGCTTGCAAGTCAAATTGGAATATTCCTGATCAATGCTTAGACTTTATGACACGCATGTTGTTGGATGTCACACCTATAAAAGACAATTTGCCAAAAATTTATTACGATGCCAAGAGATTAGTATCAAAGTTGGGATTAGAGGTGAAGAGGATCGATTGTTGTGTGAGTGGGTGTATGTTTTTTTATGACAATGACAATGGAAAAAAAGATGTTACATTACTTCAATGTGAATTTTGTCAAAAGCCAGGATATCATGACAATAATAGTAGAACAACCCATAAAAAGCCAGTTCCAGTAAAGGTCATGTTTTACTTGCCTATAATTCCTAGATTACAAAGAATATTTGCATCAATGCAAACTGTTGGGCAAATGACTTGGCACCATGACAATAGAACTTCCGATGTATTACGCCATCCATCAGATGGTGAAGCTTGGAAACACTTCGATCGAAAACATCCAACTTTTATTGTTGATCCATGCAATGTCAGACTTGGGTTATGTTCTGATGGATTTAATCCATATATTCAGGCTTCATCTTGACCTTATTCTTGTTAACCTATCATTGTTACTCCATACAATTTTCCTCCTGAAATGTGCATGACCAAGCCATATATGTTTCTAACTTCCCTAATTCCGGGTCCATCCAATCCGAAGGCCTCTATTGATGTTTACTTAGAGCCTTTAATTGATGATTTGAAAAAATTGTGGAATGGTGTTCTCACATACGATATTTCAAAGAAACAAAATTTTATGATGAGGGGGCTTGTCCACATTACATGGAGCATAAAAAATCCCTTACATTAAATTATGGTCGTAAAAGTTGTTGGTTTGATTCGCATCGAAGGTTCTTACCAAATGATCATCCATTTACAAGAAATATTAAAGCCTTTCGAAAGGGAGAAGTTGAAGTAGAAGGGCCACCTCCTCGATTAACACCTACACAAGTTTGGAGAAGAGTAAAAGATTTACCAAACGTAACTGAGTGTGGTATGACAAAGATAAAAGGATACAGAGTGGCATAATTGGACAAAACAAAGCATATTTTGGGATCTCCCGTATTGGAAAGATAATTTGTTGAGACACAATCTTGATGTAATGCATATAGAGAAGAATTTTTTTGATAACACATTCAACACTGTGATGAATGTAAATGGAAAGACAAAAGATAATGAGAAGTCGAGGAAGGATATAGCTTTGTATTGTAGGTGTCCAGACTTGAAGTTAAAGGCACAAGCTAACGACAAAATGTTAAAGATTAAAGCAAACTACACGTATACTATTGAACAAGAAAAGGTAGTTTGTTGTTGGTTAAAAGAACTGAGGATGCCTGATGGTTATTCTTCCAACTTGGCAAGATGTGCTGATGTTGAAAAGGGGAGGATTCATGGCATGAAAAGTCATGATTGTCATGTATTAAAGGAATGTTTACTTCCTATTGCATTTAGTGCGTTACCAGTACATATTTTGAATCCTCTTATTGAAATTAGTCATTTCTTCAAATATTTGTGTTCTACAACGTTGAAGAGGGAAATGCTTATTAGGATGGAAGAAAGTGGATCCATCAAGAAGAGGTACAAAAGTGGATCCTAAATATAATATTGTAGATATTCGAATGGGTTTAAGATATGAACCATTTAATCCATTTATCCTTGCACATAATGTAAGACAAGTGCACTATGTCCCATATCCATCATTTTGAATAGACAAGCGTGGTTGGTGTGTTGCAATCAAAACAAAACCAAGAGGTCGTATTGATTCTAATGGTGTGGAAGAGGATGCCCCTTACCAAGTAGATGAAATGTTACATGGCAATGAAGTCATTGAAGTTGAAAGCATATTTGGATTACATGACTATGAAGCTAATCCTAAAGAATTGGAAGAGGAAGAGGAAGAGGATGAGGATGAGAATGAGGATGAGAATGAGGATGAGGATGAAGATGAGGATGAGGATGAGGATGAAGATGATGAGGATGAATTATGTTATTGAATTATGATGAGGATGAATTTTGTAATAAAAACATATTGTACTCTCATTTGTTATGAATTATGTTATTAACTAAGTGTCCCTTAATTTATATAAGTTTTTACATCAGAAGTTATTTATAATCTTATTTTTCTATGTATAGATATGTCCACAGGAGGTTTTGACCCACCTCGACCCCCACCCTCTGGTAGTAATAAAGGGAAGGGGATATCAAAGAAAAAGAGACCACGTTACGTTTTGAAAGTGGTTTCCACAGATTTACCTTCCACATCCACTACACCTAGACCATCCACTACGCATACACCATCCATTGCACATATATCATCCACACCCATTGCACTCATACCATCGTCATCCTCTGTTGTAGGACCTACACCATCCCCTTCACCCCTTATACCTATTGTACCCGCACCATCCACAACACCATCCACCTCTATTTTACCACCCATACCATCCTCTCTTGCACTCATGGCACCCACCCCCTCTCCAGTTGTGGGACCCACCTCTTCTCGATCTCCATCTACATTCCCTGTTGTGGCCTCAGAACCTTCCTCCTCTCAAGGTCACTCACCTACTGCAGATGTTGATTCAGAGGTTGGAGAAGATGATCTTGCTATCCATGATCGATCAATGATTGAACCTTATGGTCGAGGGTAATATTTAATTTCAATTCTCAAATATATATTATAACTAAGTTTTAGTCATTTTTAGGACATATGTAACTTGTATTACTTTTTCTTTGTAATTATGTTTCTTCTGTCCAGAGTTACATCACAAGCTATAACAAAGAGTATTAAACAACAATTTCTTCAGCCTTAGGCCACATGGGGAGTGATACCTAATAGTGATAAAGAGTAATTTTTTCAACGTTTTAAGGTAACTTAATCTTGTGTACATACTTAATTATTAGAAGGATGTTTAATGTTACTATTGATTTCCATTAATGTATATATCTATAATTATTGAATATATGTTTTGTAGTCATTTCTCTATAATGTGTA